AATATAATAATTTTTAAATATCAAAACTAATATTCCCTCCCCTCCCCTCCAAATCCCCCCAATTCGGAGGGAACCAAAAAGTGTGTTTTGGAGGGATTTTGCTCCCCTCCCCTCCCCTCCTAAAATTTGAACCAAACATATTTAATTAAAAATTTCCCCTCCCCTCCCCTCCCCTCCCCTCCATCTACCCCGAACCAAACACACCCTAAGAGTAAGAATGTAAAAGATTGTAATAGTCCCAAGAGAATAAAGGAACCATCTTAAAACTTGAATGTGAATTTTACAAATGTCTAGGCAAGATAGAAGAAAGACTTGGCAGGGCCAGTAGAATGCAACATATCATCCAAAAAGGAATTGTTGAATAAAATGGACAAGATATAGAAGAGAAAAACCTCCTAAAGTGAAGATGAAGTTGTCGTTATATGTGATGTGCATGTATAACCGTCAATTGGTTTTGATGATGAAAATTGATGACAACTTCTAAACATGATAACTCTATAAGTCAAACATATTTTGGTGTTTATAACATTTTTCAAGAAATATTTGTGACATATGTAAAAAGGGAGTTGATATTAACTGACTAATAAATCTTGTTGATGACATCTGATTAATAAGAAGATATATAAACCCTCATTAGTCAGATAATTCAAATTTCAAGCAGAGGAGCTCAACGTATGAAAGTGAGAAAGTGTGAACATTCAACTAGTCATGTGTTTAGCGCCCAAGTTTGACCAGTCTAAATTGTAAAAGGACAAGAGTAAGTCTTGAAGTACTAAGAAAACCACACACAGAAAAGATCTTTCAAACCCTCTATGACTTTATTAAACTTCTTAAAACCTATCAAGACATGTATATAATTGATTATGAAGTCTTCCTAACCAATTAAGAAAACTAACTATGTCGAGTCGATTAAGGACTTGATCTAATTAATTAAATTAATGAGAAATATATTCTAATCAAATAGAAAATTCATTAATTGATTAAATCATATAGTCATTTAAAGGTTTCCGTTTTAGAATTACGGTTGTCACTTTTGAAGTGTTTTAATTGTTTTAAAGATGATTTAATCCATTAAACCATTTATTTGGCCCATGGATCATTTATTGAGCCAAAAAATTTCTTATATAAATGAGGTTTCCCTTCATTTCATTTTACACTAGATTTCTGAATAGAAACCTCTTTGAAATTTTCTTTTCACTAGAATTATCTTAGTGTTGAATGACTGAAAAACCTTTATGAGAGTTGTGTTGTACTAGTGCTATGATTAATATTTTTTATTTGAGATTGTAATTCTTTTGTGTAACATCTTTTAGAAATGGTTTAAAGGTTACAAGAAAAACCTAAAAAAATATTTGGTGACGATTTTTGAGCTAAGCATGTGTAAAAATTTTGTTTATTATTGAAGATTTATGGGCTAATCCTGTGTAAAAACTCCAAGTGTTGTTGAAATTTGTTTGGGTTGATCTTATAAAAGCTCAAGTATGTTTTAGTGACAGTTTCAAGAGGAGTCTTCTCGGGACAGGAGTAAGCTGAGTGGTTAGTCCCAAATTGTACAAATCTCTAGTGTAATCTCGCTATCTATTTTATTTTTTATTTTTTGTTGATTCTTTTCTTTCCGCTGCATATCTCTCTTCTTATCCATCTTCTTTATACCTTTCCTCCGCTATAACTTTGCTTATTTTTATATTCTAACAAAGCGCCACAAAAAAAGAAATGTAGAAAACAACTAAGTTTGAGGGATGAGATGAAATGAAAAGGAAACATGTAAGAGGAAACCCTCATCACATAGGCCAAATGACCAGGATGGAGAATACTAATAGACTGGATCCAACAACCAATAAATGAAAAACTTGGTGGCTACTAAAGAACCAAAACACAAATGCCACGTAACAATATCGTGCATTCCATTCCCCACAAAGTAATCATAACACTTTAAATTTTTTAGAATTCATTGAACTTATGACTACTAGACTCACATGGCGGAAAAGGGAATGCCAAAAGGTTGAATGCATGTTACACCACATCCCGTCAACATACAAGAAACACATGCAACCTCAAAGGCTTGCTCTATCTCCAAACTCCTTGAAGAGTTAGAGAGGTAGGTCATAGGAGCCTGTAAGAATACACAAGAGATTTCCCAGCCATCAACACCCATAAATCATTAAGTCAAGTAATAATAATCATTTTATCTTTAGTAAAATATCAAACATCGACCTTCCGGAAAAAAACAAACAACGAGGAGAGCCTCTGACCCCTCTCTTACTCCTATAATAGTTTCCATCTTCATCTCTCAAACTAGGAGGATAAATATGTAATATTGGCGCAACCATGAGGTTAAACCACCAATCACGACTAAAGAACATTTTATAAGGAAAGGGCGTGTAAACCATAAGTAACAATTAAACACCCAAATCCACCACATGAGGAGTCAAACATAAATCACAATGACAAATTTATCATAAAGGATACAATAACAAGATAGAGAAAATTATTCACCAGTAAAAATAAGATTGACAATTTATTATAATTCGTTGAATGATGACTCAGTCACTTGTGTTAAATTTGGTTCACTCTCCCAGACCATGAAATCTAGTTTATCTCCCACTATCACTTGTGTATCTGATAACTCATATTTTGTGAGTTATTATAAAATTTAAAACATAAATTTATCTTTTTAATCTAGTTGATTGCCAATTTAGTTTAATGTATTTTGTTATTTTTAAGTAGTTTGTAAAGAGTACAATATGTGCTCTCTTTTCTTAGTTTTTATGCATTTGTTATTTGTGGAGAGTTAACTTCTGATGAAGTCTCACATGACAGTTCTGAGCAACGCTTTAACGTCCAAATTTAAAAACAGAAAAGGGTGTGACAAAGGATGCAATGGGAGATATAGAGAGTGAACGTTTATTGTTGTAGGGTTTACGTGGCAAAAATCTACTAAATGAAGAGCACTTGGTTCAAATTTCAAATAGATAAGAACGAGACGCTAAAGGGCAAAAGTATGCACCATAGTACGTCCACTACAATGCCTTGTTGCTGCAAATGACAATTGCAAAGACACCGTCGCCTGATTCCCTGCACCACTAGCCTGCCACATTACACATTGTCCCTCACATGGTGAATGTACATGAGCTTGCAATGGTATGAAATGGAAGAATTTGAGAGAATTATGTTGATTATTTTAAGGCAGAATTCACAAAATCACACAAAGCCTATGATCTAAGACAACACAAAACCCTAGTTGAATGTGACTATAAAAGGACCTCTTAGAGGAAATGAAAAATAGGTTCAACATTTGAAAGAAAGAAACACTTAGTAAAAATTAGAGAAGAGAGAGAGTTGAACAAAGTGGAGATCCCTTTCCTCTCATTATTTCAAGTGTATGTTACTAGTATCTGGCATGACAAAAGTCGTCTCTTTGTGATTAACAATTGCTAGAATACAATAGGTTACTCTTAGGTTTCTATTTCTTTTTCATTATGTGTTTAAGAATGTTTAGTTTAAGAACCAGTATTGATGTATGTACTAAGTTCACCATGAGTTAAAACCTTTTATGTTGAGCAATGTGAAGTTAATACGAAATAGTCATTTGTGTTAAATGATGTGTTGTTAATACTTTTTTTTATCATGTGTTAAACTGTTATTAATTTGTTTCTTTGAATGATCAACTTTGGAATAGATGCAAGTTTGTTGTGAGAGATCCAACAATAAGTGGATTTCATGATAAAAGTGATTAAAATAATAGGATAGAGATATTAACTAGATTAACTACTTTAAAGATAAAATAGCTACAATCATAAAGGATATTCATAATAAAACGAGACATGCATTAAAGTTACAAGCGAGACTTAGAGAATTGTCCCCTTACTTTACTATATATATTTATGATGATGTAAAGATACACCATAATATCGCTTTCTAATTTTTTCTGACACAACATAACACATCATGTACGCTCATCTGACAAGTTATATTAACGAATCATTGTTCAACATGCTCTTCATTACTGAACTCAATTACTCTCTTTAAACTATTCTTGACTTTGTTTGCTACTTATTTGAACCTATGACAACTATAAATTACTTTTAATCTTGCTCATGTTCGTTTCCAAAAGATAGTTTTATAAACCTAAATTATTTTTTACTCTCTGATTTTGACATTCATACTATTCTATCACTTGTTATTTTTTGACATCACTTGTTATTTTTTGACATCCATATTATTCTATCACTTATTATTTTAAACATACATGTATTTGCACTTGACATCACACGATGTCAAACAACAATATCCTAGAACATACCGAGTACTACCTAGAAACACCCATAAAGGCCCTAATGACAAACTCCAACAAAGAAAACAGCGAGAAAAGCCCCTGAATCTCTCTTACTACTTCGAATAATTTCCATCTCCATCCCTCACACTAAGAGGATAAAGATGTAACACTGGCGCAACCATGTGGTTGAACCACCAGTCACGACGATGGATTTCACTAGCTAGGGGAATGGTGAGCTGAGCTATGTCTTTATTGTGAATGGTCAATTAAATTTGTTAGATTGTATTTACAGTATGGGGACTATTGTGCTAATTAATCCCATCTTGTGTTTGGTCATTGTAGTTAACCTCTGTTGCATTGAAGTTAAAAATACTCAGTATACTTGAGATTATCATGATACTTTTGATGTTTCATAAAAATATTCTTTCACGTTTTAACAGCGTTGAGTTTTTCTAAACTCACATTCTTTCACAGATCCATGCACAACACACACAAAAAATGTAAGAAAAGGATAATGAGAAAATGAGTAGGTTAAGTAGGTGCTGTAACATACCAATCATGGACCTTCGATAAAAAAATAAAGAACTAAGTTTTATTAGAATTGTAAGGATATTTATTATTAATCTGAACATTTACCAAGTTATCAAAAAAGGATCCCTCTTTGAACAAGATTCTATATTACAATTTTTAATCCCATTTTTAACTTGAAAGACTTGTTCAAGAGTTAATAACACTGGCTAAAACAGCAAAGGAAACCATTAGGCTTTATTTCGTCCTTTATTCTCGGTGTATCGCCGGTGTCATCACGCTTCGCCATTAAGGAGCTTGTACCAGGAGACTCAGGCGGCAAGACTGTGTTCTCAGAAGTGAATATTCTTGAAGGAATAGCAGGCTCAGGAGGCGAAACAGTGTACAGATAATTTAAGAGCATTTGGATTATCTGAGTGAAGTTGGGTCGGGCATTTGCGTCCTCTTGCCAGCATGAAGTAAGAATTATAGCTAGTTCCTCAGGGAGATGATCTGCACTCGGCCTTACATTCTAAAAAACCAAAAGACACGCGTAAACAGTTTTCGTCAGCTTTAAAAACAACATTAGATGACAGCATGTAGGAAATGAAATATGCAAGATCTTTGTTTACCTTGAAAGCTGCAGCATATGCTGCTTGAAGGTTTGACATGCCTTCAAAAGGAACTTTGTTGTGTAAGAGCTCCCAAAACACAATCGCAAAGCTATAAGCATCAACTTTATGGTTATAATGCTTCTTCTCCCCCTGCCTCAGTGTGACAGTACTGTATAACTGCACTTGTGTTCGCACAATCAATCTGAGATGCTCGTAAATATGAATCAGACAACACAAAAAGTACATCTATTCATCAATATACCTCTGGAGCCATCCATCGGTATGTTCCTGTTTCAGCTGTCATCATCTCAGTTAAAGACTCTTCTCTTGCTAAACCAAAATCTGCTAGCTTGACTGTTACATGGTCTTCCGTCAATAGCAAGTTATCTGAATGGACAAAAGAAAATCTTCATACTCATATTGCACTGTTGAAACAATAACATATAGGCAAATTCTTTAGGCCCGACCATAATGCTAAATCAGTAAATCTATTTGTATGTGTCCGCGAAAACTATCGTTTCAAACCCAATAAACACAAACATACAAGGATAAAAGTGTCCCCAATGTTGTTTCATATGAAACTGTTTGTAAAAATCATTTGATACCAGTTACCTAACTGAGTTTAAAACAAAAAGAAAACTGACTCAGACATGTAACATGAAATGCACATGTTGATAGTGACATGTAGTTCCATAAAAATGCCAGGCAAGTAAGCATGTGACAAGTGACAACCATGATTGAAGATGATAATTTTAAACCACAATAATGTCATCTTTTTCTGGACTTATAATTTTGATAGGGTGGGGATAAATAGTAATCTGTAAAAATAAGTACAATTTATTACTACAACTTAAAATAGAAAATATAACAAAGATAGGTTAGAATAATAGCATTGGGCAAGACCAATTTCTTATAAAAACTAGAAAGAAGAAATCTTGGCATAAATAAAACCACTGTAATACCGCCAGAAGGCAACATTAGTGTAAAATACAGAGCAGAAAAGCCTACATCTACTGGACCCGGGACAAAAGGGTTTCTTTTATAGGGGGAAGAAAGCAAGCAGGACTATTACCAGGTTTAAGATCACGGTGTATGATTCCGTGAGAATGCAGACACTCCATAGCACGTGCAATATCGAGTGCAAAACCAATGGCAACATGCGTATCTAAACATTTAGGACGCATGTTAAGCAAATACTTGCGCAGCGTTCCACCTGATAACAGCTCAGTGACTATCACCATTACTGGCTCTTTGCAGGCACCAATAAACTGTACAGAAAGAGTAAAAATGTTTATTCTGTCACCTATCGCAAACTTAGCACATAAGCAATCCTTATTGTATGATAAATCAAATTTTGATTTAATAACATACATAGCAGATGCAATGGAGAAAAATCAGACCAAACTCTCACCTTCACCAAGTTCTTATGTTGCACTCTAGACAACATAGCCACCTCCCTTGCAAACCGATCTTCTCTCTTGGCAATTTCTTCTGGAGAGTCCCCTTTATGTACAATTTTAATAGCAACAATCTGGTTTTTATATCTGAAGCGAACCCAACAACAGAATTACTTATATCAGTAACATAACTATACACCCAAAAAGTAACAACTCAAAATTAACTACTACTCGAGTAGGAGTGTTAAGGTGGTTTGGGTGGAGCAGCAGAACATAAGTGTTCAACACACCCCTAACATTTCTAACGATTAGTTAGTAACATGTGTCATTCAAACAAATAAATATTACTCAGATCGCAGAAGGCTAATTCATATCCATTAATGATTATTGCAGGAAATGAACATTAAGTTCGATCAGAGTTGTGTCATGCTCTATGCTATTTAGCTACGAAGCACGTACACTGGAAATACGACTCAGGCACTCACACTATGACTAGACACTCACACGTCAACTTCAGTAATAATTTGAAAAGTGAATAAATTATACATAACCACAACCTTTTTTCAGAGGTGTCGGTGCTACAAAGTTATTCCCTATAAAGTATTGTCAAATGGCGGCTCTAGCTAAGCCATAGCAATATATCATAACAAAAATTGAACAAACATCTATTTTTTGTGATCCATGATTTATAGCACTGAGTTCAATTCAAAGTAACAATACTATGCAGCCTAAGCAAAACACATAAAGCTATGAAGTAAACACAATAGAACAGGGGACACGCTATTCAATTTTCACAAAAAGGAAAATCAATAATCACAAATCTAGCTGCAAATAACAATTGATCATTAAAAAAGATAGAAAATTTAAAGGTTAGAAACTTACTTTCCCTCATAGACTTTAGCATGAGCTCCTTCACCAATCCGGGGACCAACATAAAGATGCTTAGGATCAATGAACCATTTAGGGTCAAAATTGAAGTGATCAAATGAATAGAGCCTAGGTCCAGATTCCATTTTACAGTCCAAAATGGTACATGAGTCAGTTAAATGAAACGAGAAAAAGAACCCTAGAAGGAAAACATTGGATATAGTGAGTTGATGAAACAGAGAAGTAACAACATGCTCTGAAGTGTGGTCTGAAGTTCAGAACCACATCTGAAAAAGTAAAGGCTCGGAGATCAAAACTGAAAAATTAAGTGGAGAGAAAAAAGCATGGAAATGGAACCCACATGGTTATGGTTGTTGTTGAGAGAGAAAAAGCCCAAAGCCCAAAAAGATATTTTGAAAATTCATGGGGAAAAGAGAACAACCCCCGGAAAGGGGAACATGGAAAAGAACCAATCAAGAGTAAAAAAAAAAAATCAATCTTTCTTTCTACTAGCGGCTGGAAAGAGCTTAAAAATTACTACTGCTACAGTAAAAAAGGGTTTTGGTGTGGGGTGAGATTTGCAGAGAGAATCGTGATTTACGAAAAGGATTGAGATGAGAGTGTGAGTAATTGATTATTAATTGATATTGATTTGATTAGAGGAAGAAAGTGACGTAAATAGAGCGAGAGAGGCATAATACAATAAAGTAATGAAGACCACATGGAGACTGAGCATGACAACATGGGACGACCCGCTACATAAGCAAAGCAAACCACACGAACGATGGTTGATTTTTGTGATTTCATTTTCCAATTAGGGGGGCATTGAGGTGCAAAATTAAAATTTAACTTAATTATATGGGCCCATATGTGTTGATTTTTTATTTATTAATCTCATGGCAAAATATTTATGAGAATTCTAAATTGTCTCTTAGATTTTGAAAATGTATGTTTTGATATATATTTTGTCTTAATGAATGACATTCTAAATAAGTGGCATTCCATTTTAAAACAAAATTTTATTATAGATATGTATCTTCGAGCATTTTAATCAATTTATTGATTATTAAATATTTTAATGGAGTTTTTAGAAATGTGTATCTGGAGCTTTGAAGTGGGAATTTTAAAACATATCACTTTTGTATGTCACTCATATTTAGAGATGTATTTTCGAAAATATCAAACTTGAATTTTAAATTTGTTTGCTCCTTATTGATATATGCATGATCAGGCCCCAAATTGGCTCAAAACCCTTTCAAAAAATCTTTCCATTCTTAATTAAAATTTTACTCTAAACTTTCATTCTTATGCTTCATCACATTAAAAGAAGCAAAAGAATATGGAATTCAAGATAAAGATAGTTTATTTCTACCTTCATTACTAACATTAATATTGTTTTGTAGCGATAAAATTTATGTCGTGTCTAAAAATGTATTTTCGGATTTTGTATGAATTTCTCCGAAAATGCATTTTCAGAGTTTGTCTGTTTTCACTTGCCACTAATCTGTTTTAAATTTCATTTATTTTTGAACATTTTATGTTATTGTTTTCATTAGATATGGTGCACCACGATGTTTTCCAGAAACATATTGTTTCTTCGAATGCAAAACATGTTGTGAAGGAGGTAAATGTTGGCAACCAATTTACAAACGAACAAGAGTTTGAATTTCGTAATCAAATGCTTGAATGGATTCATAGGGATGCATCCAAATTAGGGTTTGGTGTTATAATTGTCGTACCTCAAAAATACGATCCTTCGCGATGGTCGCAGAAAAAATAGTTCGAACAGAGTCGCCACCGAACTTTATTTATTCCAATGAAAAAATAGGAAAACATTAATAAATCATTTAAAAAGAAAATGGTCATCGCAACCGAATTCGGGTTCGGGAGCCGATTACGCAAGAGAAAGGTATTAGCGTCCCTCACGTCCGATGTACTCAACGGGAACCTCTTTGTTAGATTTGCGGTTGAATGTTAACTCGTATTTATTTGCTTTCTTCGAGTGGTAAAAAGATTTAAAAAAGAGAAAAGAAAGGAAACCTCAAAAGGGGAAAAGAGGAGGTTTTTTATTAGTGTGCTCGTCAAGGATTGGGGCCCTTGTGCCTACATATCCTCATTCTGAAATGAAGAATCAGAGTATCTGTAGTTCGGAAGACTACAGTTTGTTGGTGTTTTTTAATGAACAAGTGTTTAGATCGCATTCTAAGAGCTAAACATTGGCTTGTCTACTCGCAGGGGAGGCTTAAGCACTAGTTTGTATGCGCATTAGATGGTACTAAACAATATTCTTTTGCAAAAAGTTGTTTGATTGTACGAAGGCGAGTAATTAGGTTTTGAAAGGTTTCAATCGCACGGGGGCGAGAAAATATAAGTTGGATGTGTTGATGTTGATTTTAGGGTTTTGAAAAGAGATTGTTTTTTATTATGATTGCACTAAAGACTATGGATAGATGTGAATATTTTAAACTACCAAGCCAAGCATTTTGTTTCTAAAATACTTAGAGTGGGGGCAGGAGAGCTTCACTCTCACTCCTTCTCCACCACTTAAGGCTCGTGGCGTACAATCCTAATCGTATTTTAGAGTGTTTTTTAATTTGATTGAAAAAATGCTACTTGACGTTGGATCAAGGATTTTGTTAATTATTGTTGCAAGATGATTATGAAAATGGTTTGAGATTAAAAAGGGGTAGGTTGATGGTGATACATGAAGTGATCGACTTACAAGTTAGGTATGACTTGATGTATGGGTCAAGAATGCTTTAGATTTGGTTAATGGTGATACACAAGGCGATCAACTTAAAAGAGTTAAGAGATGGCTCGATATGTTGATCGACTTTGCTTTAGGTTCAATTTCATTTTACATGAAATGTTAATAAGAAAACAGAAACTTAAGGAAGTGATACAATTATTGCAAGCCTAAAGAGTGGGGATACACTTTGTTGAATGGTAGAAAGGTAAAGCAATAAACACAAGCCCAAACAAATAAGCATACATAAATGGATTAAACACTCAAATAAGCATCTAATTAATTAATTAAAAATGCATGAATCTCATTGTAAGGAAGCCCAAGAGTAATCTATGTGGGTGTGTGCAAAAACAAGCTCATTCTAAGAAAGCCCAAGAGTAAGCCATGAGTTAATTGCGATGCTTAAAAGCGATCGACTTACAAGGTATAAAATGACTCGACATTGAATCGAGAATTAGTTCTTTTTGAAAAGGGTTTTAATGTGACGCTTGAAGTGATTAACAATTGAGTAAAGCATTAAAGCACAATCAAGACGAAAGCGATAAAGTTATTACATCATTTGGGGATGGGAGTATATTTTGTCGAATGGAGATACAAGATAATGAAACCATTAAATTAAGCTCAATCAACAAACATAAATAAATGAGTGTAAGTGCACAAGAGAATGTTCTCAATGTAAAAAGGCCCAAGAGTAAGTCATGTGAAGAAGATAGTAACACACAAGTTATATTTACAACACATTCAAAAATTAAACCGAAAGAAGTAAAATTAAAGTGTGCATTAATTAAAATCGGGATGCGAGGATGTGAATCGAAGTCACATAACACAAGAACATGAGAAGCAAAATGAAATCGAGAGGTGCAAGCAAAAATCTAAGTAATGTGCTCAAAATCGGTTTGTGCATATCAACAACAAATAAAATGTCTTATGCAAGGGTTATAATACGGCGAAATACCATCAATATATCGATAAAATAATTGATGGAATAACAACATGGGAAGTGTTGAATCCATGGATTAAAATTCGATGTTTAACATTGAAGAAGATAGCAACACACAAGTTATATTTACAACACGTTCAAAAATTAAATCGAAAGAAGTAAAATCGAAGTGATCATAGATTAAAATCGGTATGCGAAGATGTGAATCGAAGTCACATAACACAAGAACATGCAAATAAAAATGAAATCGAGAGTTGCAAGCAAAACCCTAGGTGATGTGCTCAAAGTCGGTGTGTACGTATCGACAACAAATGAAATGTCGTATGCAAGGGTCATAATGCGGTGAAATACCATTAATATATTGGTAAAATAATCGGTGAAATAACGACATGTGAAGTGCCGAATTCATGGATTAAAATACAATGTTTAACATTGAAAAGACTCAAAGAAACCAAACAAAAATCCAACAAGTATCACATTTTTTAAATAATTAAAGGATGATTTTGCAATGGTCCTAACTGGGGTAAAATAAGTGAGAAAAAAACTAAACTGTAAAGATAATGTCACAAATAATAAGTAGGAATCACAAAAGATCATAAAGAAACTCCTTAGGATGGCTAAAAAATGGGAAATAAAATAAAAAATAAGGGTGAAAAAAAGAAATGGAAAAATGAGGAAAAGTAGCACAAATGGATTCCCCCGTTGTCCTATTGCTACTAAACATATGCAACCATAAATATATAATATATGATGTATTCTCAAATATAAAATAAAATAAAAAGAACATGAAAACAAGAGGGAATGAGCGGGCATTGATTCAAGCTCAGGACCTGGTGGTTGGGAGACCGAGGTTTCAACCATTCCATCATGCACAATTATTTGTCAAACAATGACGTGAAACAGTATAAGAGAAAAAAATACAAAATAAATGGAAAAAATACAAAATGATATAAACTTAGCATACTATGATTCATCATCATGTGACTCTCACTTATTCCTCTCTTATTAAAATTCACAACACATATAACAAAAGATGTTCCTATTGAATTTTCAACCATTATTGATAACAGTGCATGGATAATATGAGAACAAAAGAAAATTAAACAAAGTTGTTGTGATCACAAACAATACATTTCAACAAATAAAGATTGAGAAACAAAGATATTGGGTGAATAATGAAAACGGTTAGAATAAAGAGAGAAAGAAGAAAGGATAAAGAAGAAAGAAGAAGAAGGATTAGGGCAAATTGTTTAATATTCACTTTCTCATTTAGGATTTACAAATGATTACAAATGAATAACAATTGGCCTCACTCAACAACCTGAGTGATCTAACCTATATATAGACTAATTAGATAACTTGCAATCCAAACTAACTAAACAATTAGATCCTTAACACAAGGCCCAATTCAACATACATTTTGACAATACATATTAGAACAAACTTCGACTATAATATGT